GAGGGAACAAGGTGATTAGAGCCATTAAGAAAAGCCCAGGGAATATTTTGCAGATTGAAATCACCGACTTCAATGAGGGCGTCATATCCCGTAAAGAAGAAGAGACTTCGCTGATATAATTTATATGGTGCATATAAACTTGAAAATCAGCAAAAGGAGAAATAAAGGAATAAGTGATACAGTATGTGAAGGTAGAATTACTTTAACACGAATCAATTCTACTTCAGCAGTCATATTTGGATTTGACTGTGATCAGTACACCACTACGACGACGATTTGGGCAAGCACGCCTATAAATGGTAAAGATATTTGACAGAATTTCATAGTCAGAAACAGAGTCATTTAACCATGTTTCGTTTTTAAGCTTAGATAAAAGAGTAAGCGGAAGGTGAACGAAGAGGGGGCAAGAGGCAATGAAACTGGAGCTGGTTGAGTTCTTATTCTCGGTTTGAATTCATGAACTATCATATGAGGAGGCCAAAATTTAGGATCAAAAACGATCGGAAACAGTTCAAAGGAGCTATTTCCCGAAAAATTAAATTTAGAAATTGCAACGTTAGCAGGAGTATTGCTAGAATATAAGTTTTAATGGATTCGCAAGTCGTATCTGCTGATAACATCGATACAAACACTTGTTTCCGAGGGGCCATTGAGAGAAGGAGGATTGGGAGCAGAAGCTGCAACCTCGTCCAATTTAGGCGTTAGGCCTGAAATGCGTGCGAACCTTTTTGAAGCAGTACTTAAGCCAGCTTTTTCATTGTTCGCAGGCAGAATGATAGCAAGTTAATTCCCAAATCGAAATCGCTTGCAAGATTTTTTAAAATCTTGTGCAATTTTACAAATTGGTTTTTCACATACATACGTGAAATATCAAATTACATTTCAATACATACAGGGGATGACCATTTGCAAGCCGACGCAACCATTTTTGGCCTTAGCAAACACCTTGTCGTGGTCACGACCGGTAAGCCCTGCACACTAAATATGCATCATATTGTCACACAACCAGCAGCTATTAAACTGTTAGTGCAAGATTTTTTGCAGCGCGCCATATGAATATTATAATGATTATTATGGACCCTATCGTAAAACTCCCAAATAAAGGGAACGTGCTCATTTATTTTAGAGGCGATCGTATAAGTGCATCTCTAAAAGTCCTTACACTCGCCGACTGCCCATGCGCAGCTGTTGCATTCGAAAGCTTTTTAATTGCAAAAAGTAAGCTTTCATAATCTGAGTAGATTTCCGACTTAAGCAGATGATTCATTTCTTCTCAAGTCTTACTCAAGATTGGATGCACGCCGCTCAAAAGCACTTATAATATGTAATAAAGTCAAGTGGTATACCAAATTATTTCATCTAAAGGCATCGTTATAACTTTAACAAGATAGAACGCTACAGTCGAGCAAGCCCGACAGTAAAATAGCCTGTACTCTCCACAAAAAAAAGAAAAATTAAAAAAAAAATTAAATTATTAAGAAAATTGAATGAATGAATTAATTAATTAAATTAAATTAGAATACATGTTTATGTTCAGTTTTAACAGCATACATTTACATCACGTACCTATGCGTATTTATATGCGTGTATGTATGCATCACAAAGTTGAACCAAAGCAGCAACAACAACAACAGCTGCGGGCAGCGCTGCCGACAGAGCTGCAGGCAGCGCATGAGCAGCGATTTTACTTATGGCTATAACTTTCTTCAGAATTGACCTATCATGATGAAATTTGGCACACGGACACATTAGTACTAACTGGATGTACCTATCAAAATTGATTTAAAAATTCCGAGAATTACGGAAGTTATAAGAAAAAAACACGAGTTGCGGGGGAGTGGGGGGTGCATCGAAAAAAAACTCAAACTCGTACTTTCTCGGTCTTAGGAGAATATGGAAACCAAGTTTGGTTATTTTAGCTCTTATACTTTCTGAGATCCTTGCGTTCATACGGACAGACGGACGGACGGACAAGGCTATATCCACTCGGCTTCTTATCCTGATCAAGAATATATATACTTTGTGGGGTCTGCCAGGCCTCCTTCTGTGTGTTACATACATGCGCACAAAACTAGTATAGCCTTTCACCCTTTGGGTACAGGCTATAAAAAGTGCGCGATTGTTTCAAGCTGTCGGACTATTTTAAAATCACAACTAAGAGCACCGCCGAGATTATTTTGATCATCTCACGAAGAGTGCGAAATATATGTATATACTTTTTTGCAATTTGGCATTTACACCAGGTAAGCCTCGTGCAATGTCAACAATTTCATGCTTCTAACAAGCATCCGTTTACTCCAGTGAACCTTCATCGGTGTATATTGGTGCCTTTTTTTTTTTTTTGAGCTCACTCATTAACCAATTTGTAGTACGTTAACCAAGGCCCAGACCGCAGCGTCGGCGCAAGTAACACCTGTGTTAAGGCCCAGAGTCACCAGCTCTATCAAACCTTCCCTTAATTTGACTCTAATGTGCGATTGATAAGATAAGCCATTACCGGAGACCACAAACTGTGTATCGATGGGATAAGTCATATTTGCAAATAATCTTAATGTCATAGGTTAAATCTAATTCTGTTTTCTTTTTACGTCTTATTAAGCCTCGGTGCGCTATGAGTGGGTATTTGTACCAACAGCCAATCATCGTCAACAGGCCTGCTGACATCGATGGAATGGAAGGCGCGGCACTGACGTGGGACCGCACAAGGCGAAACTCGACCCAGTCGTGGGCAGAGTTCCGGGCGGAACTGCTAGAAGCGTACCCGGCCGCTCCTCACGTTGAGCAGTGGCGACAGAATGCGCAACGACGCTTTCAGGGCGAGTCGGAGTCCACTGCGACCTACGTCCAAGCGATGCTGGAATTGATGCTCGATGCAGACATGCCCGGAGAGGAGCAGCTGAGGCTTATCTACCGCAACAGCCGACCAGCGATCAACATCAGGATACGACATCAGGATGTCCATACTGTGGCGGAATTCAAACAGCAAGCAGCAGAGCTGGAGGAGTTGGGCCTGGTTCCGTCCTGTACCATTGGGGCAGGGCCATCCCAGCCAGCGTTCATGGGCCCACGGGGGTTTCCGATCCGATGTCCGGAGCCCACGCAGGAAAACTAGTGGCAGAACGCTCGCGAGTGATGGTGTTAAGGGTGGATTGCGCTTGTAACGTTGCTCTGGCCCGGGTATACTCGTCGGCCAGAGTCGCTGCAAAATTCTTTGTTTGGTTACCCAGAAATAAAGCGAGCCCGCAGTTACCACTCAAATATGATGCTTGTCATGTGTACAATTTGTGTTTTATTTCTAAATGCAAAATAGGAGGGTGCGCTTCAATGCGCGTTCGTTTACCTCTCGAACAGAACTAACTCAAAAAACTCTCTTCAACTTACAACTACTTACATCTACTTAAAACTACTCATCGGCATCGTGACGACGCGTTGCGTAGCTGGCAGCCGTATGGACTTGCGACAAAACTCACACTTATTTTGATTTACCCGTAGGTTCGCCGCTCTCAGTCTTCGAAACACCTTCCTCAGGTTACATAGGTGTTCTTCGAATGTCTTCCCAACCACAACTATGTCGTCCAGATGGCAAACGCGTGTGGAGCCATATCCGGGCCGATGACGCTATCTAGCGCCCGCTTGAAGGTGGCTGGGGCGGAGTGCAGGCCAAATGGCATCACTCGCCATTGGAACAGGCCCCGTCCGGGCACTGTGAAGGCGGTGTATTTGCGGCTGTCGGGCTCCATGGGGATCTGCCAATAACCGTTTCGCAAGTCGATGCTGCTGATGTACTTTGCCTGTCGTAACTGTTCGAGAATATGTTGGATCCTCTTCTTGCGTACCAGGTCTATGGGCGCGCTGTACGCGCTATCGGACCGCTCAATGCAGCCCTTCGCCAGCAACTCGTCAACCTCGTTGTCAATCACCGCTTGCATCGCTGGATTCCTCGGATAGTAGCGCTGTTTAATGGGCCTGTCGTCTTTCACGCGGATCGTGTGTGTCGCCACCGACGACACGCCCACAATGTTCTCAAAGCACGGTAATTCCTCCTGAAGGAACGTGGCAGCCTGAGCAGCCTGCTCATCTGTCAGCGTAGCCGCCGATGGAGCAATTGGCTCTGTGGTCACCAATGCCGCACATCGTACTCTGCGGCGCGCCTGACGCCTTCTCCGCCGTCGTCGCTCGCGCACATCTCGAATCTCCAGCTTGTGGCTGCCGGCGGTGAGCGTACCATAGGCCTTGCTGATGAAATCTAGCCCCAGTGAGAGCTCATCCTCGCAGCCCGGCAGTGTCAACAGTGGTACCGAGATGCATTTGTCGTCCACTGTTATCGCCGTCATCGTCTCCTCGCAAACAGTTTGTCGCGAGCCGCTTCATATAATTCATATAATCACCTATATCTTGGAGACTATAAGACCTACGGGCAAATTTTAGTCCCAGATGACTTATGTGAATACGCAGAAAATGTATTCTTTGGAATTTCCTTCCCAAGCAAATCGCGATTTTCTCTAACTCCCATAATTCTTGGAATTTCGAACGCAAATACCCCCAGTTAGTTATTATGTGTCCGTGTGCCAAGTTTCATCATGATAGACCGATTTAACAAGAAGTTAAAGCCATAAATATATTTGCTGCTGCAGCGCTGCCCGCGGCTGTTGTTGATGCTGGTGCTTTGGTTGACTGCACATATGTTTACACAGACACGAATAGACGCGCATAAACATACATATGCATGCAAACATGCTTATACATACATACACTAACATAGACGCTATTGCTATGTAAATGTGCAATTATACTCCCTTTACGTGAGTTCGAATACCAAATGAGGTAAAATCGATCAAAATGTTTTTTGTAATTCTCTTACTTTTTTTCATTTCTATAATTATTCTTGTTCGATATTAAGATTTGTTTGCCGTTTTTAAATAAAACCAATACAGCCACACTAAGAGAAGTTAGGAGGTAAGAGAGCATGTAAGAAGACGGGAGAACGTAATGAAGTGGCGATGAATAAAGACCTTATTAATGTAGTACATTACAAATTTGGCGACGAGTGAAAAACAATTTATTTAATTAAAAACTGTAAATACAGATAAATAGTCAGTGCTGTAATTACAGACAGCACATTTAAAAAAAAAAAAATTATTAAAGCGCATAACAACGCATATGTACATACATACGCATACAAAACAATATGGCGAAGGCAGAAGTAAAAACGCCTGCATTTTATCAAATGTCTAATTTTCCTGAGTTTGCACCAAACAGCGAAACGTTTTGCATTTGGAAGGAGAAGTTGGATATACATTTTTGTGAAGTGAACATTACTGAGGAAAGCGCAAAAAGGTCAACATTACTAAGGTCGATAGGAGCAGCACCATACAGTGTCTTACACATTCTTTGCAGCCCGGAATCACCTGTCTCAAAATCATATTTGGAGCTTTGCGGCATACTCAACATGCACTACACACCGTCCACTATAATTTTTCGGGAGCGCAAGAAATTTCATAATGGGATTAAAGAGGAGGCTGAAACAGTATCGGAATGGTACGCTCGTGTAAAACAATTGGCACTAAATTGCAAGTTTGGAGAACATTTAGAGGTGTTTGTTTTAAATCAATTTATCATGTCACTCCCCACATTGATATTTGAGAGGAAGAAGACGAAAATTTGTCACTGGCGATTGCATTAAAGAAGGCCACGATAATAGAAACCAAAATAGCAACAACAAGATCTGATGATAGCGTTAACTACATGGGCAGCGCACGTAACGGGAACAAGCACAATGCAAACCGAAGTAACAACGAGAGCAGCAACGGAGGTTTTGGAAGCACTGGAAAAGGGCTGAACTCAAAGCAGAAGAGCGACGGCGAAAATGGAAGAGGCAAAAGACAGCACAAACCATGCACACATTGCGGCTGGAGAAATCATAAGTCGGATGACTGCAAATACAAAATGTGCACGTGTCATTCATGTGGCAAAATGGGACATTTAGCATCTGTTTGCAGATCAAAATTTCAAAAATCAGTAAATTATGTATCGAATTCAAATAATGAATCAAATTCTCAAGCTAATTCTTTTGATTTTTCGATATATAGCGTGGCTTCAAAATCCTCTGGTGGAGTTTATCACCTGTCTGTAATTATGGACGGTTTCTCTACGAAAATTGCTTGCGACACTGGTGCTCCGTGTACTTTGATTCCAATTTAATTTTATGAAAAGGCATTAAACAAAAAACCACTGAGAAAATGTCAAGTTCCATATGTCAGCTACAATGGAGGCAAAATTAATGTTTGTGGTGAGTACGATGCAATAATAGAGTATGGAGGTGTAAAAAAATAAATTGTTGTTGTTGTTTCAAATACAAATAGTCCACCGTTGCTTGGAAGAACATTTTTAAGAGCATTCAATTTTGAATTGATGCAAGTAAATAGTGCAAGAGAGGTAGAAGAACATTCTATAATTATTGACAAATTAAAAATCGAGTTTTCTGATGTATTTGAACCTACACTGGGTTGTTACAATGCTATTGAAGTAGCTTTGCAAGTTAAAAGGGACTCATCTCCAATTTTTTTTAAAGCGAGACCTTTACCATTAGCTTGGAAAGATAAGGTAGAAACCAAATTACGCAATTTGATTCGAGAAGGAGTATTAGAGCATGTTGACAATTCTGAATGGGCAACACCATTAGTCCCAGTTTTAAAACCAAATGGTGACATCAGAATTTGCGGAGACTATAAAGTCACTCTTAATAAATCATTAATTGACGTCAAATATCCTTTGCCAAGGATTGACGATATATTTGCTGCACTTACAGGTGGTAAATTATACTCGAAACTTGACTTGAGCAATGCTTACAATCAACTAAGGTTAGATGAGGGAGTCACAAATGATGTGCACGTGGAGTACACACATTGGCTTATTAAAAGTTAAAAGATTACCTTTTGGAATTAAATCGGCAGCAGCAATTTTCCAAAAGACAATGGAAGGCTTGTTTCAGGGCATTCAAGGAGTTGTTGTTTACCAAGATGACATCACAGTGACTGGGAAAAATATCCAGGAGCACATATCAAATTTAAGAGCGGTTCTGAATAAACTAAAGTCAGTTGGATTAAAGCTTAACCAATTAAAGTGTGAATTCTTTAAAACAAAAATTTGTTACTTAGGCTTCACTATAGATAGAAATGGTCTAAGCAAAAATAACGATAGAATTTCAAGTGTATGTTTAGCACCAAGTCCAAAAAGCGTTTCGGAGCTTCGGGCATTCATAGGCATGGTCAATTATTATTCAAAGTTTATAAAAAACTTCGCGCAAATAATGAATCCATTATATATGTTACTGCGAAAGGATAGCAAGTATATTTGGAATAGCAACTGTGAAAAGGCGTATAAACGTATCAAAAGCGAGATCGCGTCTGATCAAGTCCTAGTCCACTACAATCCTGACTTACCAATAGTGCTGACAACTGATGCAAGTTGCAATGCTGTATCAGGCATACTTTCACATAGAATAGGGAATGAACTTAAACCAATTGCATTTGTTTCAAGGGCGTTGACAAAATGTGAAAACAATTACAGCACTTTAGAAAAAGAAGGTCTAGCTATTGTATATTGTATTTGCAAATTAAGGCAGTAATAGTTGGGAAACAAATTTATTTTGCGCACAGATCACAAACCTTTATTAGGAATTTTTGGTGAAAATAAAGGATTACCTTTGATGGCATCGGCACGTATTCAAAGATGGGCAGTAATTTTGTCGGGCTTTGACTATACAGTGGAATATATTAAAGGAACTTCAAATATAGCTGATGGTTTATCCAGAATGCCTCATTGGGAAAGTTGCACAAATGTTGAAGAATATCATTATATTCATTTTATTCAATCAAACAATTCAATCAAGCTTAGTTTCAAAGACATTGCAAGAGAAACACGACGAGACCCAATTTTGGCAAAAGTCAGTGAAGCTATAAAGAATGGCACGCTATCGAATTTAAAAGGTAGTGAATTCTCAGCATATGTTAGCAAATCTCAAGAGCTCTCTATTGAGTATGAATGTGTACTATGGGGATATCGTGTTTTGGTTCCACTTAAGCTTCGGAAACAAATACTTCATGAATTTCATAAGTCACATTTAGGAATTGTTAAAACTAAGATGCTTATACGATCATATATTTGGTGGCCTGCGGTAGACAAAGAAATTGAAAAATTAATAAATACATGCATTCCTTGTCAAGAACTGCAGCCATGCCCAGAAAAAAGTTTTCTTATTCCATGGAAGCCTACAGATACAGTTTGGAGTAGGATTCATGTTGATTTTGCAGGACCTATAAAAAATTATTATTTACTGGTTGTTATAGATTCTTTTTCGAAATGGGTAGAAGTTTACAAAACCAAAGAAATTACATCAACATTTACAATTAATAAACTGCGTGAGATATTTTGTCGTTATGGATTGATAGACACATTGGTCAGCGATAACGGACGACAGTTTACATCAGTAGAATTTCAAACATTTTTAAAAAACAATAGTGTGAAGCACATTCTGACTGCACCAGGGCATCCATCAACAAATGGACAAGCAGAAAACTTTGTTAAAACTATAAAAAATCATTGTATGCAAGTTTAAAAGATAATGAAAGCAGTGAGTTTGACACAATTTTAAATAGATTTCTCATTGATTATCGAAATACTATTCATTGTACTACAGGAGAATCACCAGCAAAATTATTTTTCGGTCGTACTTTAAAAACAAGGTTTACATTTTTAAAACCACCTTTAATATCACAACAAATAATAAAACAGCAGAGCAAAAGTATTGAAGATTATAAGGGAAAGCGAAATGTAAAATTTTCTAAGGGCCAGAAAGTTATGGTTAGAGATTACAAAAACCCTAACAAAGCTAGTTGGACACAAGCAACAATAATTCAACAACTAGGCCCTCGATCATATTTTTGCATTCTTTCTCAATCGAACTATAAAAAGACATTTAGATCCAATAAGAAATGAAAATATGGAAAATGATAATAAAATTAAAACTGAAGAGAAAAACGAAAGCACTGATGTCGAAAGCAGTTCTCGGAACTCTAATCAAAATGAGACTTCACATGAAGATGAGAATCATAATTCTTCTATGGACCAACCAACTACTCCACCCAGAAGGAATTTGAGACAACGTGCGGGAGGAAAGGTTGTCAAGAATATTTAATATTATTTTTAAAGTATGAATTATAAAAAAAAATTGAAATGTTTATTCTATATTGAAAACAATTACCAGAATTGTACATGGTATTTTTGTAAATTGAATTAGTTTGTTAAAAGAAATATTGAAATTGAATGTACAGATTCAAATACATATATGTATATGTAAATAATCTTTAGAAGGGGCGTGTTGGATATTAAGATTTGTTTGCCGTTTTTAAATAAAACCAACACAGCCACACTAAGAGAAGTTAGGAGGTAAGAGAACATGTAAGAAGACGGAGAACGTAATGAAGTGGCGATGAATAAAGACCTAACATAATGTTAAATACCTCGTGTGAATTATTAATGTAGTACATTACAATTCTAAACATACATATGTACAGAGTATTTCAAAGTCGGGACAAGCGACTTTAGCATTTTTACTTGTTATACTATGAAACGGATTGTCCTAGTTAATTTTTCGCGCACATTATGTATGTATGTATGCATGAGTTGAATATTTTAATATTAATTTTGTAAATTAATGAAATTTTTGAATTAATTATTTTTTTGTTCAATTTGTTTTTGTGGGGTTTAAGAGTTGAAGCCGTTCGAGTCTAGCATTCCTTTGTTTTTTTTTTTTTTTTTTTGCTATTTTCATTCATTTTGCTGTAAAATTTTCATTTGCCTGGGCCCCAGAGCTGGAAAATAGTCGATGTTGACTGCAGCGATCCTTATCGACTTTTTCACTTTCAAGTAATAATGTGTTAATTTAGACATTTGATTTTATACGATTAATAGACTCCCAAAAACAAATCGATGTTTAACAATTTAAATCGATTTCGAATCACGAAGTTCACTTCAATCTCGTGTCGCCCTGACACTAGGGATTTAAGTCGAAGAGAAAACATCGATGTCGATGTCTCTTTTAAAAAAACATCGAGGTTTTCAAAAATTAACTTTTAACTGAACTAATTTAAACACGATTTATTTATTGTGTAAAACATTTTATGAAATTATATATTCTCCATTTTTATCCAATACCTTTTGCCATCTTTCGGGCAAGAGATTGATTCCACGCTCATAAAATGTTTGATCCTTGCAGGCAAAACACTGGTACAAGTGGATTTTGACGTCCTGATTTGAGGTAAAGGTTTTACCATCCAAAAAATGTTGTAGAGACCGGAACAAGTAATAGTCCGAGGGTGCGAAGTCTGGAGTGTGTGGTAGCAAGCTGCAAAAGCTTTTGGCGAGTCATCAAACTTGTATGAGGTCGCGCATTATCCTGGTGGAACACTACATCTTTTCTTTGATCAATTTTGGACTCTTCTGTTTGAGTGCATTACTCAATTTGTCCAACTGATCACAATACACTTCAGAATTAATCGTGGTATTGTCGGGCAAAAGCTCAAAATTAACGATCCCTTTGAAATCCCACCAAACAGACAACATTACCTTTTTTGGTGACTTCCGGCCTTCGAAGTGGTTTGAGCTGGTTCATCCTTTTTAGACCATGATAAACAATCCACTTTTCGTCGCCAGTAACAATGCGCTTCAAAAATGGATCACTATTTTGACGTTTGATAAGCAAATCACAGTCACGTGGAACCCATATGTCAAGCTTCTTCTAGTCTTAGACGTTTTATGTTCTTGTGAATAGTCGCGTTAGACAAATCTATTCTTTCAGCAATCTCTCGAGTTGTTATTCGACGATTTGCATCGATAAACGACTTTATTTTATCCACATCGGCTTCAAGTCGCCTTTCAGGACGTGGTGCATCCTCGATCGAAATTGCCTGAACGAAATTTTGCAAGCCAATTTTGGCATTGCCGTTTGGTCAACACATCTTCTTCGTACACATCACTTGCATGAACTGCATTTTTACCCTTTTGATAGTAAAACAGTAAAATATGCCGAAAATTCTGCTTTCGATCTGTGCAAAACAGAAGTGGAGTGCAAGAAGCAACAACAGCTGCAGGCAGTGCTTGGCCAGAGATTATATATACAAGGTGTGTTCCAAAGTAAACAGGACTTTTAGAAAAAAAACAGAACAAATGGTTTTTTCGGCAAAATCAATTTATTTAATTTAAAATAGTCTCTTTCTGCTTCAATACAGCTTTTTGCACGATCCAAAAGCATGTCGAACGAGTGTATTAGCTCGTTGGCCGATATGGCCGGCAGTATGCCGGTGCAAGCCTTTTGAATGGCCTCTACGTCTGCATAACGCTTTCCTTTCATTGGCAAATGCATTTTTCCGAAAAGGTGGAAGTCGCCCGGTGCCATATCAGGTAAATACGGCGAGTGGTTAATGGTTAAAATGTGATTTTTGGTCAAATAATCGGTCACAAGCGTCGATCGATGAGAGCAATTTTTGGTCGTCAGTCAATTTGTGCGGAACAAACCGTGCACACACCTTTCGTAAGCCCAAATGCTAGGTCAAAATGCAATAAATCGATGTTTTGGAGATGTTCAATTCCATTTCCATCAATTTCAATGATGATTTCGGCTGATTTTTGATGAATTCACGCACAGATTCGATGGAATTTTCGGTTATCTCGAATTTTGATTGGCCCACATGTTGATCGTCGTTTATGTCCTCACGACCACTTTGAAAACGTTGAAACCACTCGGGATAGGCAATCATCGCCATAAACTTGTTCCATCAACTGAAACGTTTCGGGAAAAGTTTTACCAATTTTGAAATAAAATTTAATGTTGGCTCTAGCTTATTTTCGCACCGTTAACACAAACATACTGAAACATACATATTTAAAACGCAATAACTTCACTTCCAATCGATGAAATGTCATGAAATTCTCACTGGACAATCGATAAAGATAGCAGATTCTAACGCACCAGTCGACATATAGATAGCGCCACCAGGGACGCTAGATTCAGTCCTGTTTACTTTGGAACGCACCTTGTATGATAGGCATGTACATATAAAAAGGAATTTATCGAAGCTAGTTAAAAACCGTGGTTTAACCAAGGAAGTAAGTTACCAGTAAAATTAGGGAACGTGTTACTGCGTACTCTAGGTGGAAGCGATACAAAACTCCTGAACATTACCAGAATTTTAAAATCTTAATTACTCTGTAAAATTCAATAACGCAATATCAACTAAGCAGAGATGGGGTTGGCTCAAAAAGCTTGGTATAGGAAAACAAAAACTTTCAAATTTCCTGATCTTTAGAAATTGGCCAAAGTAATTCCTGTTCTTAAGGCAAAGAATGAATTCAGGCCAATATCTATTCTACCATTTCTATCTAAGGTATTCGAAAATCTTATTTATTGTATTTATTTGAAATTAATAGCAAATGATACTCCCATTCTGTAGAACAAAGAAAAAGAAAACTTATAACAAAAAAAAAAAATAAAAATAAAAAACAGAAATTTATATATAAAATGTAGTTATACAGTACTAATCTTAAAGGGGTATTTTAGTCGCCGAAATAGGCCGCTGTGCCCCGACTCACAGCGAGTGATTAGTATTGCATTAATGCAAGTGTACTAAATGATGGTTAGTTAAGTATAAAAGGATGTTACTGCTTAAGCTACTAGGGGATTGAATAAAATAAATTAAATGGTAGAGTTCATTATAATTTAAACACAGAACACGAAAAGGAGAGTAAAGTGCGAAATTTGAGGAACAGAGCTCAAGATGTAGCGGCCGAAAATTTCTTGAAGGTTTAGAGGGAACTACGAAGCTTATACGATGAATTAAGTTGCCTGAAGAGATTTCTCCCGCCAGTAGCTTGTAAATAAAAACTACACCATGACAGGTTCTACGATCTTGCAAGGTAGGGAGATCACTCAAACGTAATCTGTCACAATAAGGTGGCAAACGTCGAATGGGATTCCATAGAAGGCCTCGCAAAGCAAATAATAAAAATTGCTTTTGGACGGACTTTATCATTTCCTGGTATTTTTTATACTGGGGAGACCATACACATGAACAATATTCCATAATGGGACGAGAGAGAGAGAGGGATGTATAAAGAATCTTAGTGGTGTACGGATCGTCAAATTCCTTCGACCAGAATACCTCAAGCTTTACCAACCATATTTACAATATGGGTATTAAAATTAAGCTTGCAATCGAATGCTACACCAATATCATGACTAGTAGTGATACGTTCCAAAATATAATCATCGAGTAAATAAGAGGAAATATGAATTTTACTTCTATAAAATGACATAACTTTGCATTTGGCAACATTAAGGTATAACATGAAGCACACCATGATTGAAATTATTAAGATCCGTCTGAAGTAGTTGATGATCGATGATGTCAGATATCGTAAGGCAAAGCTTAACATCATCCGCATACATAAGACCACGAGAATGATTTATCACTTGGGGTAGACCATTTAAAAAAAAGGACAAAAAGCAGAGGGCCTAGGTGACTTCCCTGTGGCATGCCCAAGGAGACATATATAAGCTTTGAGATCACACTATTGAAAACAACCCTTTGAGTACGACCAATCAGATATGAAGAAATCCAATTAAGCAGTAGGGACGGAAATAGTGGTTAACGCAAATAGGATGACCAACTATCGTAATTTTAAATTTTGTATTGGCGTGCCGTTACAGAAATAAATCTGTTAGCTGCAATAATCTTAACAACAACCAATAGGACCGAATCTACAAGTACGCTATGCCCTAGCTTTGCCTGCTACAACGTTTTTCCACGCCGTTTGGACGCATTCAAAGTAAGCCGCATACAAAGCGTTAGGTTTCAGATGGGCCGCATCGGAGTTACTACGGGCACTCAGGCCACGGAACTGGCTGAGCCAACCCCTACCGCGCAGGTGGTGTGCCCAATTAATGAACAAGTTAATTGAAATGGGGCTCTGGCGGCCGAGTAGGGGCGGCATATCCCCCATCCCGCCGAGAGAAATCTTATGGCCACGTGGGACTGAACTCCCCAAGCGGCATGTAATTTCTCCGCGTCCAAAACGGAATTATCCCCCTCTAAAGTGCTACGTATGGTATACTGGAAGCCCCTTATGTTATTTTGACGTTTCGAGCTGACGATGTTGGTATTCTGCGACCTGAGTACGTAGATTGACACCCTACCGAAATGGTTCGCAGGCCAATGCCACCATTGCCCCCGTCCCACTAAAACCATGGCAGGCCTTGAGTAACGCTTGCTGTTCGTCGCCATTAACTTGGCCGTGTAGGCTCAGATGCACATTCCTGAATAGCACCGATCTGGCTCTGAACTTTGTTGCCCATAAGGAGCAAAGTCAGCCCTCGCGTGGACCTCACTCATGGAAAGGCACCCACGGGATCACTAAGGTAACTACACGCACGAACAGCAATAACGGACCCAAGTTGGGACCC